TGCACTCCCCTCCATCTGAGGCGCCTCCGCAGCCGCCATTGCCGCCGCCGCCGCCGCCGCGCCCTCTATCGCCTCAGCAGCCGAGCTGAAGGCGTCGCCCGTCGGGCTCACGTAGCTCCAATGCCCGCTCTTGGCGCTGCCGCGGTAGCGCTCGCGGATGCGCCAGCCGCGGTCGAAAGAGCCCATCCACAGCTTGTTGTCGGTGGTCGCGCGGTCGCGCTCAACCGGCGGCTCCATCAGCGCCTCCTCCACCGCCACCGCCGCCGCCGCCTGCGGGTCCTCCGCCCCCGCTGCCTCCGCCTCCGCCGCCTGCGGGTCCTCCGCCTCCGCTGCCTCCGCCTCGGCCTCGGCTAGCCACTTCGCCTCTGCTGCCTGCTCCTCCGCCTCGGCCAACACCGGCGCCTCGCCGACAGCGCGCGCGTACGCCACCGCCGCCTCCACCGCCGTGTCGAAGATGCCGAGCGAGTTCTGCTTTCCGTGACCTGCGCTGTGCTCCGCCCGGAAGCGGCCCGATGCCTGCTTGCGCACGCCCTTGTAGCCTGTGGCGCTGCTGGTCAAGACGTGCAAACGCAATCCCTCTGCCTCAGTCGCCAATGCCGGAGCCTCGCCGACCGCCCGCGCATACGCCACCGCCGCCTCCACCGCCGTGTCGAAGATGTCGAGGGAGACATTCCGTCCACCCTGTGTCGCCTGGAAGCGGCCAGAGGGGCGCTGCTGCACGCCTCTGTAGCCGGTGCTGTTGTTGCTCGAGAGATGCAAGCGCAAACCCTCCGCCTCCGCGACTAGAGGCTCCTGCGTGGCCGTACCCCGCTGCCCTGCCGCCGCCTCCGCCGCCTCCGCCGCCTCCGCCGCCTCCGCCTCCGCCTCCGCTTCCGCCACCGGAGCCACGCCGACCGCTCGCGCATACGCCACTGCCGCCTCCACCGCCGTGTCAAAGGGGCCCAAGTTCAACCTGCGTCTGCCCACGCTGTGCTGCGCGCAGAAGCGGCCCGTAATAGTATCCTCGTACACGCTCTTGTACCCGGTGGCGCTGCTGCTCGAAAGGTGGAGGGGCAAACCCTCTGCCTCTGTCGCCACCGGCGCCACCGTGGCCTCCACCGCTGGCGCAGCCGCCGCCGGCTCCTCGCCGTCGCCGCCGCCGTCCACGTCCATCGCAATGGGCTGCGGCTCGGCCTGCTGCTGGCTGGCGTGGCGCGCGTACGCAACGGCCGCCTCCACCGCCGTGTCGAAGCGACCGATGTGGACGGTGCGTCCGCCAATGCTGCGCTTCGCGTCAAAACGGCCACTCCAGGCCCGCTTCACCCCCTTGTAGCCGGTGTCGTTCGTGCTGCACAAGTGCAGCTGCATCCCCTCCGCCTCCGTCACCTGGGCTGCCGGCTTGGAGGGCGGTGCCATGAAACGCTGCGGCGCCGCCCTCCGCCTCGCGCTGCTGCCGCCCTCAAGCATGCCGCTCGAAGTGCCGGCAACTGCATCCTCGCGCTGCTCCGGCGGCACCCAAGCCGACACCTCGCTCAAGGGAAGGAAAGCCCTCGCGACAGCTGGGGCCTACAGCGGCACAGAGCGGAGCTCAGAACGTGGCAAGCGACACAGACGCCGCTCTGCGCCCGGCGCGGTGCCGTCAGGCGGTTCAGAGGCTCGCCCGCCTCGGAGCCGACAAACCTGACGTGCAGCGGCAAGCCGGAGTAGCAGCGAGCGGAGCGCACGCTCAAAAGCACCGCCTTGTAACGCCTCCGCCAGGCGTCCGGGGCCGTCGCGAGGCAGAAACCGCCGACCTCCACCCCCTCCGGCAGCAGCGGCTCCTCCCCCCCCTCCAGCTCCCCCTCCCCCACCACCTCCACCGGCGCTTGCTGCTGCTCCTGCTCCTGCTGCTGCAAGTGCCGCGCGTAGTCGAGAGCCGCCTCGAGCGCGGTGGTGCGCGTGTGTGCGCCGGAGAACGCCGCTGTGAAGGTTGGCCCGCGCAGCTTTGCAGGCCCCTTTGCCCACTTGCCGGGCTTGTTAACGCGCACGCCCGTGAAGCCGCTGCTGCCCCTCTCCGACCGCAGCAGAGTCAGCCCCTCCGCCTGACGACGTGTCCTGGACATGTCATGGACGTGTCCTGGACATGTCCAGCAGCAGAGTCAGCCCCTCCGCCTCCACCGCCGCCGTCACCTCCTCCTCCGACATCGGCGGGGCCGCCTCCTCCTCCTTCCGTGCCGCCGCGAGCCGGCGCATCGCCGCTCGCACCTCGTGCTCCTCGAGATCCTCCTCGTCGCCTGTTCACGGCTGCAGGTGTGAAGAGACGCTCCTCTCACCCCCTGCCAGCCAACTCCTCCGCCGCCGTCGTCGTGCTCGATCCGCCACAACGCGGGCTCGCCCTCGCCCTCGCCCGGCGGCAGGTAGAGCCTCACCACCGCGTGCATCTCGCCGTGCCCCTCCACCTGCCGCAGCGCGCAAGCTCGAGTACATCTCGAGCACATCTCGAGCACATCTCGAGCACATCTCGAGCACATCTCGAGCACATCTCGACTGCATCTCGGAGTCCACCTCGGGTATGTCTCAGGGTACCCTCTCGCGGTGGGCCCTGCACCTGCCGCAGCAGCTCCTCACCAACGTACTTACCCTCCGCCAGCCACTCCTCGTCCGCCACGCCGCCGTCGGCCAGCGCCGCCGCCGCCGCCTCTGCAGACGCCGCGCCGCGGGCCTTGCGCCGCGCCTTGCCGGCTTCCGCACGCCTGCCGCCGCCGGGCGTGCCTGCGCTGGCGTGCTCGCGAAAAGCCTCGCCCTCCGCCGTGAGCAAGTAGGTGGCACCGTCGCTTTTGCCCCCTCTCCCTGTACCCAAGGTCCAGCCGCCGTCTTGCGTCCAGAGCGGCGCCTGTACGCTCTTCTCGCGGCCCAGCTGCGTGACCAGCGACTTACGCAGCCGATCCGGGTCCTACACCATTTATTTTTATACATTGAATGGAGTTAGCGAATATGAAGACTCGAGTCGCGCCGCCGGTCCGGCTCCTCGGACAGCGCGTGCTCCACAATCGCCTCGCGCGACTTCTCCCCGACGACCAGCGCGCGGAGGAGGAGCAAGCGCATGCCCTGCGGCGCGACCGGCGCCGGCGACTCCGCGCCAGCACCCTCGGCCTAGAGAAGGAGTAAGAGGGCAGGGTGCCGCTTTTAGCGTAGCATAGTGTGGTATAGCACAGCAGAATGTGATAGTGAAGTTTTGTACAGCATGGGGCGCCTCATCGCCCGCCGAGTCGACCTCCGCGCCCGCCGCCGCGACCGGCGTCGCAGCCTCGGCCTGCCGCCGCTTCTTGCCAGCCCCGCCGCCCTGCGGCGACTTGCGCTTCGCGCGCGTCGCAGCGGCGCACGCTGCGGTAGCGGCGGCGGCGGTAGCGGCGGCGGCGGCGGCGGCTGCGGCGGTAGCGGCGGCGGCGGCTGCGTCGGCCTCCGCCGTGTCGTCGAGATGCTTCTTTATGTCGCGCATATTCCGGAAGCTGACGCCTAGCCATCAATCATTCATGATTGATCACTCACTCAATTCTCACGCGCGCGTGTTGCGGAGAGCAGGCGCCGGCGGGGCTGTAGTAGCAGGAGTAGCGGTAGCCGGCGCGGCCGTCCGGCGAGCCAACTCGGCTCACATACCTAGGTGTGAACGAACGGGTGTGAGCGAACGGGCTCCGAACACAGCGAGTACAGCGGAATGCGGTTGAATACGTACGGCTGAGGGGGGAAGGGGGGGGGGGGTGTAGGCTTGCACACAGAGACCTCTTGTCTCCGCGTCTAGTCCACCCACCACCACCCGTCGGGGAGGCCGAGCTCGCTCTGCTTCTGGGAGGGCAGCGGCACCGCGTCGTCGGGCACGCCGGCGGGGCGGGGAGGGCCGCTCTGCCGCGAGCAATCCTCGCCCGCCGACCCAGCCCCGCCCTCGCCGCCGCCCCGCCGGGCCGGCGCCGCCTCCTCCTCCGGCGGCTCCTCCGCCTCCGACCTGTGGAACGTGTCGGCTGGACGTGTCGGCTGGACGTGTCGGCTGGACGTGTCGGCTGGATGTGTCGGGTATCTCGGCTGCCTCTCGGCCGCCTCTCGGCCGCCTCTCGGCCGCCTCTCGGCCGCCTCTCGGCCGCCTCTCGGCCGCCTCTCGGCCGCCTCTCGGCCGCCTCTCGGCCGCCTCTCGGCTGCCTCTCGGCCGCCTCTCGGCCGCCTCTCGGCCGCCTCTCGGCCGCCTCTCGGCCGCCTCTCGGCCGCCTCTCGGCCGCCTCTCGGCCGCCTCTCGGCTGCCTCTCGGCTGCATGTCGACCTCGACGTGGCCCCCGACTCGGACGGAGCACCCTCGAGCTCGGGCACCTGCGCGTCGCCCTCCATGCCGCCGCCCTCCCCCCCCTCGGCCGTCTCCTCGCGCTCGGGCGCGGCGCAAAAACCGCCGGCCGGCTCCTCGGCGAGCAGCTGCGCCGACGCAACTTCCGGCGTAGGGGCGGCAAAGACAGACCGGATCGACGCGCTGAAGCCGTGATACGTGGCGCGGGCCGCCGCCACGCGCCGCTCGGCCGGATCGGCCGAATACGCCATCCGGCGCAACGCGTCGACGCTCGAGTCGACCTCCACGCCGTCGGCGAGCGGCAGCCGCGTCTGCCGCAGCCGCAGCCGGTAGCCGGGCGTGAGGAGGTCGTCGGAGAGGTCGAGCAGGTGCAGCGTGGAGGTGACGAGGTTGTTGTCGCCCCGCACCGTCCGCACCGCCGCCATGTCCAGCCCGCGCTTGGTGGCCGTCGCCTTGCTCGCCCGCCTGGTTGATGATTCATTAACCGATGACAGTGAGAGTCACTCCATAGACTAGGGTGGCCGTCGCCTCGCCCGCCTGGTTCGCAGGAACTCCACCGCCCCGAGCACGCCTGGCCGCGCGAGCCTCTCCTAGAGCAAGATGGCGCCGAGATGGCGCCGAGATGGCGCCGAGATGGCGCCGAGATGGCGCCGAGATGGCGCCGAGATGGCGCCGAGATGGCGCCGAGATGGCGCCGAGAGGCAGCATAGGCGGACGCGAGTCGCTCCGTCGGCGCCACGTTCTCCCCATCTCTCCCCGCATCTCTCCCCGTGCCTCCCCGCATCTCCCCGCACCTCCCCCCCCCCCCCTCTCTCGGCTAGCTCGCTCCGTCGGCGCCGCGGCGCAGAGCGACTTTGTGGCGACGACGCGCTCCACGCTCGCGCTCGCCTGCGCCACGTCGAAGGCCGGAGGCAGCCTCACGCCGCCGGGCGCGAGATACCGCCCGACGATCGCCTCCGCCTCGGCCAACCGCACCACTGGCCGCAGCGGCGGCGGCTCAGCAGCTGCGATCGCCGCCCCCGCACCCGGC